TATTGATAAGATATTTGGTGTTTACACAACAATGATCTGACTGTCTTAATGAGAATTTCACACTGTTTATTAGTCAACATTGTGGTCGGTAAGTTTAATAACATTTTGATTGTAAGGTATTGTTCACTTGTTGGACATAAGTACCTTCAAGCAGTCAACTGTACTTAGCCTAGCCATGATTATGCTACGGTCTATGAAGCGAAATTAGTCGGCAATAAACTGTTGTACCATCTGTTGTATTTGGTGCCCTGAACCATGATTGATTGAAACACCTACCTATATAACCATAGGCCCAGAATCATAAACCTGAAATATATTTAAAAACGTTCTTAATTCAAAAGTACCATGGAGGCGTGGCCTTATTAAATAGTCCTCCTGCGCTACTGGAATTATGAGAACGGTGCAGTATTGCAGTACTGCCAAGTAAGATTTTCATCAGTCTTACATTATCTCAGTATCGGGGTAAAGTAAGAAATGAATTTTCCTTCTTTTACATTATACGTTTTCGTCGCTTCTATCCAGAATCGATATTTTTGATGTCATGTAAAAGCATACTTATGCTTACGTACGTTTTGTGCATGACGGTAAGTTTCGGGTAAACGAAACGCCTCAACTTTCCGCAATTTGTAATTGCGTTCTTTAGTCAGCGCGTCGAATAACATGGAAAGAAAAAAATGAAAATAAAATGAAAGTTCTGAAGTCTCAGACCGTGCGATATTGGTGAATGTTAAACCCGCTATGCATTGTACAGCGCTTGATATACACCACAGTGGAATCAGCAAACGGTGCAATTTTTTACAGGATGGATAGTGCGATCCAGGTGGCCACTAGAGCGCATAATCCGTTGAGTTCTTTACATATGATGGTACTCAAAATCCATGACATTCCTACTAGATATTCACAGGTTAATCCAATTACAGGTTGAACGAACCACGGAAGGGCAGTCGCCTTAAACGCCTGAAATGGCAACTACTTGAAAACAGACCTATTTTGAAATTATGCACCTGCAGTCCTTTGCTGCACTGCCAACACTAGTGCCGTTTCATATTTACCTCCAAGCCGCAGCAGCCGCAATATTTCGGTTGATGAAACATTCTCATGTGACGTCGCAGCGATCTGTTGCACGACGCGGTAAAATGGCACTTTGAGCATTTGGAATGACTGCGCCTAGTCGACTCGCGCTGAAAGCACGTCAGATGAGTGCGCAGGTCCTTCAGGGCCTTGATCACCCCGCGACAGTCAATACAGAACATCTGAGTGCCCTGACCACTGGGTCTGTGAAATTGCAGCCAATGTTTTTCAAGCTCTTCCGGCTTTATTCGATGACAACAAGTGCAGCACAAAAATAGCCGCTGCTCTATGGAAGACGACGAATCAGCCGTCGTTCGCTTCTCTCCTGGACCATGTCCGGGTCCACCTCCTTCGGCGGCATTCAAGTTCAACAAAGGGAGTCTACGCGAATGCGAAGCAGCTGGATCTTGAGCGTACGGCAGGTCACCATCGAAACAGTTCCAACCATAACCAGCCTGTTCGTTCGACACCGAACAATTCGCGTTGTTTGTTTGTTTACTCATCCATTTCATGTCCTTAACGGAACTGCTGAAAGTTTGCAGGTCACCTTGAGAGTCCATTGGCAGCGGCAACAAGATGACTGTGCGGATGTAAATCTGCATCATAGAACAGCGAAAATGATCATGCAAATTTAACGCTCAGAGGCAGCTGAAAGCCTCCAACTTCAGAACACAATAACACGTTTTAAAAACTTTTTAAAAGCGCGCAACATAAATTATGAAAATTAGACAACAGATAAATGAATTCATTCAACACGTCTTTGTCCAAACGTGAAATATTTCACAAGACATGACACTGTTGCAGACAACTGGTCAATGAAAATACACAGTAGATGCTACGAAATCAAAGAGACATATAAATATCATCGTCTTAAACGTGACTGATACGCAACGAGGGATTACTGTAGCCATGAAACTAAATGACATGCCTCGATGCAGTGTAGGTGCTATCACTATGTATCACACTGTTACTCGGCGGCGTAAACTTGATTTCGATAACTGTATAACAAACATATAAATACTTTTCGTGATCAACACTCCTTTTGACACAAGGACGAGCCGTTTTATACAGTTCGCTCTTTTCAAAGGGTCATCGAGTTTTGAGGTGCAGATGGTTCCTTTCTGGTCGTGTGTCAGGACACCAAACAACATATGCACAAATTATCGCTCTGATCAGAATGCAAATGCACAAATGGCGCTTGGCTGACCTTACCAGTAAATTCTTCCACCGAGTGAAGGGGCTACCACAACTTCATGAAGCTGCTGACTTTTAAAAGGCTCTCACGTATCCACTAACTTCAATGTAAGAACGCTACGAAAGCCGCCGGAGTAAAATTAAGCCGAATGGAAACGTAGGACAGAAAAGAACTAAGCAATGAGATTTTTCAAAAGCCTTTAAAGGATACTTTCAGGAGTTTCAAGTATCTGATATGCTTTCTTCGTTGAAACATTTACCGTAGTTCATTATTTTGCCGCAGATGAGGACGATGTTGTCCGAGCCATCTTATGACCTAGACATCATACGGTATTGAAGAGAGCAACAATAAAGAATAAGAGCAAATTTTCCCGTGAAAAAACTCTGCTAGATAAGAACTGAAACCTCTGTGTCAGGTTATAGTCAAAATAATTATCCCCGGCTTGAACAACAAATACTCTGGTTCATAAGCAGGAGAGTAAAATGCTTAAATGTTTCAATCATCGCATATAAACACTATTTTTATCCTTCTTTTACTTCCAGTTGAGTAAGGGACCATTTGAGCGGATCAGCCCGTTTGGTGTCGAGCACCTGCTGCGCTAGATCCATCACAATTCATTTTATTAGCGAAAGTAACCCCCAGCTCATCATAAACGATATTTCTGCGTTAGATCACAATGTGTTCAAATGAGTTCGTATGGCGAATCAAAAATGAGTTTACATAAATGTTTATACTGCGCCGTTTATTTACTCAAGTTGCCTAGAAAAAATATCTTTTTGGAAATGTATATCGTTTCACCTATTCTTCAGCGGTAACTGTTCATGCAAAGTCAGTAAAGATCACATTCCTTAAAATCAAACTCGCACTACCTACATTAAACGGCAAAATGCAAACAAATACGTTTTATTCGGCAAAATTTCAACGCAAGTGATATAAGGGCATCTATCCTACTGGCTGCTCCTAGATGCCTGAAGGGAGAGGTCATTAAAACAGGCAAATATTTCATGACTCCATGGTCTTATAAAATCGCCAATCCCTTTTATGCATCCCATACAGTCCTAGACTCGTTAGAGCAATGACGTTCCATAGAAATCATCATTAGCGGACAGTGTTTGTAGCAGGTGATTTCGAAGTATCTGCCATGTGATGCTCTGCATTCAAAGATAAGCAACTGTTTGTCATAAAGCACGCTATGCGCTTTGATAAATACCTCTCATTCCTAGCAAAACGTGTGTACCTACGAAGGAGCGGGGGTATATCCTCAACCCTCCAACATGCGTAACCTTTATGTTTTGCTAACCTGACCATACTTTATTGTCACTGCTCTACACAGGTCACCTGCGCCTAACCAAACATCATATAAGGGTGTAATTCGATTGGACTGAAGGGCCTGAGGAGCGTGTCATTACAGTATAATTTCAGGGAACGGTTTCTGAGTCGCCATCTTCATTTGCCAGTTTAACGTATAACCCTAACTTGAAGTGCATTTCAAATTTTTAGATACAGGATATCAGAATCGCGCACAAACGGTTAAATCGATGTTGAAAACGATACACGAACATCTTCGGTCATAGGCAGCCGTGGGACTATTATACACTGCCATTATCCCGGCTGAATATGAAACCCGCGGTACAAATGATAAATATAATCTTAGTGCATTACTGCATTGTAAATATCATTATATTAATCAGTTTAATGATGCCCGAGTAGTTTTAGCTGACCCGTTTGGAGTCTTGCACCAAGCCATATTAAAAGCACTTAAAAAGACGTCTCGCAGTACGTAACAATTATAATGCATTGCATATGGGCTAACAAACAGTTCCCTCTTAGTGAAACGAATGCGTATGTGAATCAAATCACCAGTGATGCTGCTGTGCATACCCGAACCTCCGGTGCTCAACTACAACGAAGCGTTCACCTGCTTAAATACCCTCTTCTAGGCCTCTGGATCCAAGCAACGGCCCAACCAGCCATTCATCCGATGTGATGACACGTTCAAGTCTTTTTCTACGGTATTATCGATTTAAACCAACCTCAGTTGCTTTTCAACATCTACTCATCACTGCATGACATTTGTTCGGCCTCTAGAACCAAACCCGCTTAAATGCGTTTTACACAACAGAATGCTCATATACAACTTGTGTTGTACTCCGTTTAGAGTACGGAGAATCAGTCACAGTGCTACTAGTGTATAGCTTCCGTTTACAAGGGTTGGCGTAAAACTGCTGAATTTGTCAGTAGTTTGTGATTATTGCAGTTATATCACCGCGCTTGGCAGCTGGAAAAATCAGCAGGCACTGGCCATTTGGCATGCTTTTTGATTTAAGAATTTCAGTAATCAGCAGCATGAAAAGATCTGGAAAGTAGGAAGCAGCAAACCATAAAACTGTTTTTACGCGAGTATGACGTAAGGAAGCATTTTTATAGAAATAACAATACTATGATGAATCTGTATCAATAAAAATACAAATATAAATTTTGAACTTCCATGCGTTGAACATTGACTTAAATTACGTCAATGCACCGAGGAATAAGAATTTAAAAATTGTTATCAAAAGATGACAAAAAATACATAACATTACATGTAATGATGTTTACAGGAAGCATACGAAAACGAGATAATAATGCGTAACTTGTCTAAACTTCACTCATTACAATTACAACGATTAATACTTCGGTTGACTGTCCCTGGGTTTTTTCTGCAGGTCATCCGCATGAACAGACCATACATCTTTTAAAAAGGCAGACGAACAGTGCTAGTCCCTGAAGTACAATAAAAACACATTGAAACAATTGAACCGTGTGTACGAAACTAGGGGTCGAAAGAAAGGTTGGAAAAAGGATACACGAAGTTGTGAAAAACTGCTCGCTCACAATACTTACACGCGACAGTTCAAAATAAAAAACAGTTTACTACAGTTGGAATATCGCTCTTCCTCACACCTAACAACAGGGCCAATTCCCGCACCTTTGTTTTCATGAACTAAATGGTGTGGGGAGGTGATCTCAATTTCCATGTTCTCAGTCGGGAGTGCCTGTTCTGCTAAAGGAAGAATCGACAGCAGCTATGCGAAAATCATAGCCTATGTCCACTTGTTCCCTTCGCACTTATTTATCAACCTCGGAAGAAAGAAAGGCAACTAAGGACGACCAAGGCTCGAACCCGCGACCTCTTGGTTCTGAGTCCGACACTGCCGACAAAGTAACTCTGGTAGTAAATGTGTGCAACGTGATGTAAATTCCCTGCTCAAGGAATTTCTTGGTAGAAGTACAGACTACCAATCGCGGAAACTGAACTCGGTATTTCCGGAGTACGAATTCGAATCCAACATTCTACGTATTGTACCACAATGCCATTTAGAAATAACAGACCCCCTGAAAACTCGTCTGTAGAGCTAAAGGGTACGGATGTTACTATCTCTGTAGATGAAATTGCACAAGCTGTGAAAAGCTTCAAAGATGGAAAAGCTGCTCGAATTGACGAAATTAGCCCTGAGATGCTCGAGTCCTTAGGTGTACAAGGCATGTGCAGGCTAACACGTATCTCTCAAACTGTGATGACTGCGCGAAAGACACCGGCGGACTGGAGAACGGGAGTTATTGTACCCGTATTCAAGAACGGAGACCACAACGAATGCTCCAGTTATAGGGTCATAACGTTATTGAGCCTGCCAGGTAAAGTCTACGCAAAGGTGTTAGAAAGGAGGTGCCGTGAAGCAGCTGAGGTCATGATCCAAGAAGAGCAGTGTGGCTTC